GGGTGCTATAGCATGTGAACAAAGCAAATAGTCTTACTCTTATGGCTTCAGAAAGGTACTGGGAAAAGAAAGCGGTCAGTCTGTTACTTCAAAAGCCGGTACCACAAAGGCAACCTGGAACGAACACCCATTCCAAAGCAGGTCACGTCAAATGGGCAATAACAATTCATTTTACTCACATAGGGATCCTGAAAGATATTTTCGATGCTGTTTCAAGAGCGTAACAGATAATATGGGGTGGTAAGAATTCGAGCTGCTGGATGTGGCTGGAATTGAGAGAGCGATGACTGCCACATATTGCATTGGTCTTTGAAGCCGTGCCCACCCTATTCAATTTGAGTATTGAATTCATCCCCTAATCAATGCTTGGATGACTTCGAGAGAAAGCCGGGGCTCTTCAATCCAACAGCTCTCAACAAAACAGGTGAGATCATCATTGCGGGGAAAAAATGATCTTTCATTGCGGGAGGAACAACAGCTCTCTAACCTGTATTTGTGAATACACAAAACCACATGTTTGACGCCATCAAGAACCTGTATTAGTTCCAATGTCCCTTACAGTCATGCGATCACAGATCTAACATTCGATGTTGCTGGATAAATGACGTACAGTGCAGTATTGAATTGATAAAACCTGAACAGAGGGCTCGAAAGGGAGTGATAACGCGGCCTGTCAAGGAGTAAGGCTTAAGTCTGTTCCGTGGTTCGTTTACAACAATCCGGGGAGCGGCATATTTGAAATCCCGGACATACAGCAGTAGAGCCCTAATAGAAGGCGACAATAATAACGTTGCAACAACAAGCGGCATGCAAATGTGGGATCTGGCAAAACGTACTTCCATATCCCTGGTACCAATCATGCGGAATAGTTCATGGTCAGATCTGTAGAATGATCAAGGTAGATTGATATCATGGTAGAGCGAGAATACAATACCTTTGATGTGGTCGAGGAAGATGTCAGAAATCCGAATCGCTGCCTTCCAAGGTCTTCGACTGGGAAGCCACCTTGGAAGGCAGCTTCCAACCTGGGTAGCCCAGAATATGTCATCGAATATAGAAAATAAATGTGAGTTATACATACCGCAAAATGTAACGATTGTGAGGTGACTAGTGAAGGTGCTCGACTGCGGCCATACCATCATCGCGAGTAGCGGCCTGTGGACTTATGATTTTTGACTTTCGACCCGACCACCACCATTGATCACCGTCCAACGACCAAGCAGCCCTAAAATCGGTACATATAACGCATTACCGCTTCGAAGAACGCCTGAAACTTGCGACTTTGAAGCTTGTAACCACCTCTGTACTATCTTGCATCACTCATGATATTGCACACACCTTAGGCAATGGAAGCGCCAAGGTATACGGCCACACGACTCTGTCTCCATTGTGAGAAGAGATTTCCCATTGCAGGTGGCTCTTTCACAAAACACGAGTCCAACTGCGTTCGGAATCAGGAAGAGGAGAGAGAAGCCGCTGTTTTTACCCTGGAACTAAACCGGGTATTTCGAGGTATGTACATATATGCAGATATAGATTCCAATAACTTGTCTACAGAACGAGAGGCCCAGGAGAGCGAGCAAAGAAAGACATCAGGAATCCCAGGTGCCGTCGAGAAAGTTTCACTCGGTATGTGATCATTGATTCAGTACGTATTAGAACCTAATGCATGATGGCAACATTTGTGGACTATGAGATGAGTGGGATGTTGGAAGAGACGGGGGAGGATGCGACTCTGGGACTCGAGACTGGCGATGGGCTCGAGGATGGTATGTAGCTTCCGACTATGTGACATTATTTGACTTTTAATTTCAGGGGAATTATTACCAACTCAAGACCCTTATGTACAAGTCACACCTCACCCCCGTGGTGGGCAACGGCCCTATGTGCTAGGCCTTGTACATCCACCGGATGAGCCAATCTTAGGGAGTCAACTGTTAATCCCCCCATATGCACCATTTCCATCGGAAGCCGACTTCTATTTCATCTCAAGCCGTGTTCAGCGCACTCATCCAACGGGGATATCGACTTCGACCTCAAAAATATGCGGAATGGAAAGTGGTGTGACACTTGTCACCTCACTCTCAAGGATACAGCCACCACAACACCCCTATGGTCTACCGGCCGGATCTGCACAACAGACCCCCACTGCATCCAGGAGTGAGAACCGCCTACCACTGTTAGCTACTCCTGAAGAGATGGCCAAAGTAGGTGTTGAGGTGACCGTGCGATGTGCAGTGCTGATATTTTGCCCAGAGCATTGCTTCTCTTCAGCAAAAGCTAAGCGAGACTGAAAAGCGTTGTCAAGCAGCAGAGGAGGAGCTACAATTTCTCAAGAATGGGAGAGGGAACAAGTCTACAGAACAAGATACGACTGTGCTGCGTCTTTCTTGTGCAAGAGCAGTCGCCTTCTGCGTGTGGCCATGGCTCCCAGGTCCCGATAGCCTCTTGTCAGCAATAAATATCCCTGTAGACTATGCATCTGGCTCGGGGTTCATTAGGCTCATGGACAAAG